TGATCACATTTTGTTGCATCACCGAGATACAATATCTCTCTCAATTTCTCGAAATCATGAACATTTTGAAATTATGAACAATTTGTTAAACTCATGCACATATTTGAAATCGCAAACAACATACTATTACAAATTTCTGAACATTTTCTACAATCAAGAACATTTTTTCAATTTATGAATATTTTTTGCTATTTACAAACATTTTTTAGAAATTGTGAACATTTTTAAGCAATTTTCCTGAACTGGCAAACATTCTATAATCGATGAAAATATTTAGAAATTGGGTGGAATAGTTATTGAATTTGACGAACTTTTTTTGATTTAGCGAACATTTTTGGAAATGCCCGTGCCTTGCAACGGAAAAAAACTATCAAGTTATACATGTGTGGTAGATATAAAAAAGTATGAATCAAATTCACAAAGTATATACAAATCATGTCATGATGCGATAAGACACTTTTAAAATGTAATTTCAAAAAAGAACAATATGATGCTCATCAAGACTTGATTTTTTAAGGCGTCACAACAAAATATTTTGTGGCTGAGCAAACTGCATTGACGGACCCTGCCTGAGCTATACTGATAAATAAAGTGTCTCGTCTGGACTTAGCGTAGCGATGTTTACCATAACCACTATTGTGATATGAAAATAAGCATAACTGTGTATGGAAGCAAAATAGACATTTAGTCATTTTAATATAGCTTACAAAAACAAACCCTTAGAAAGTTATGTCAATTTTGTTGAGTTCAGCGTTGTACAAAACATGGAAACCCTTTTTTACCCAACGCGGAGGACTAAATAAAATCATAAAACGAGCTATATAGATCTCCTAATAAAACCTTTATGGAACCTACAATTAGTTTTGTTCATTATTTACGGATGTGTTTTAATTTTTGTGAACATTTTCTAAAAGCTGATGGACATGATTTTTAAATTCCTGAATATGCTTTGAATATTGGCTCATTTAAAAAAAATCATGAACATTTTTTATTTCATGAAATCATTAGAAATCGTGATTTGTTTATAATTTGTGAGCAATTTTTTAAGTCATGAACATTTTTTGATTTTTAGAATATTTTTTAAATTCACAAACAGTTTACCATTTTCCTACTTTTTTTTAGAACTCGCAATTGTTTGATATTTTGGAAATCCGAAATTAATTTTGAGATAAAAAACCAAAACAGAAATAAAAAAGTAAAAAGAAATAAAAAATAGGGGGCGCCATCAATCCGAAATTTATTTTTAGGGAAAAAACAAAATAGAAATAAAAAAAGATATAGAAAACAGGGGGCGCCACGACCCGCACATGGGCTGGCCCATTACTGCGCTTGGTAAAAAGAAAGAGAAAAAGCATGAGAACCAGGGATCGAACCCTGGTCTCCTGTGTGGAGCATCATTGCCTCAGCCATCACGCTGCTCATGCATTGGTGCTATTATATCGTATCCACCTTTAATAACAGAACCCTGGAGCGATATTAGAAATTAAAAACGAATCGTTTTTGCCACTTACGGGTGGCATTGGTGGGTAATTATTGCCAACTTCAAGGGCATTTTTAATGACGGACGGGCAGAAGCGATAGCCGCTTTATTAGTAGGGAAAGATATATATATATATATATATATATATATATATATATATATCTAATTGTAGGTAAAGATAAAGATAAAGATAAAGAGGTAAAGATAAAGATAAAGATAAAGATAAAGATTTTTCTGGCTTAATCTGTCACGTCTCTTTTAAAAGCTAGGCAATTTTTTTTTCTTTCTGGCTCATTCTCTCACGTCACGCCTCTTTTAAAGGCTAGAGCAAAATTCCAAAAAACAAGTTGATTCTTCGGAAGGTCATTTTGGCTAAGGAAACACACATGCACGTACAGATTAATTGTTGATAGTTTGGAATTGCTTATCGTGCTTGCCGCGCAATACATACAGACTAATTCACTGTCAAAAATATGATCCACAAGTTGGTCCTGATTTCCTTTCTCAATTTGTCACGTATCTCTCTCTCTTTTATAGCTCCGCTAATCTCTTATGTTTCTCTTTTTTTCTTCCCAATGAATCTTTTTTTTTTGAACTGCTTCCTGATGAATCTCTCACGCTTCTTTTTTAATGCGAGAGCAAAACCCGAATTTTTTTCTTTCAGGCTTAATCTCTCATGCCTGTTTTAAAAGCTAGAGCAAAACTACATAAAAAAGTTGGATTCATTGGTCGGTCGTTTTGGTCAAGAAAACACACATGCACGTACAGACTAATTTGAAACAGGTTGATTTAATCGCGAGTTGATTTAATGTACACATATATAAGAGAGAAGCAAGCTCCTGGATCAATCTGTGCGCAAGCCAGATGGAGTCGCCGGCAGGATCTCCGTGGTTTGACCTCTTCCTCTCTCACGTACTCTGCCTCTAATCTCCCTCATTGCTATGCCCACGATCTTTTTATCACGTGCATCTGCTAACGAGCTGGCAATATCAATAAGTGGTCAATCATAATCTCTTTCTGCGGCGTGATCGAGCGACAAGTGGTAGATGTTTTCCTCTATCCAAATATACTTTGATGATTTGATCAGGGATGATTCCGGTGGCACAATCCAGCAAGCAAAGGCAAGATTCATTTTCTTTCTTTTCCTAATTTGCCGAGGTTAACTCAATGAATGGTGATTCATGTTGTGCGATTAAGCATGGAGCAGTGGGCGTGCTTCCTATTCCCACGGAGGTGCCGCACTAATGCTCTTGCAAAGCCTTTTTCCTATCCTTCTTCCGACTGGAGACATACTCCTTGGCTCCTTCTATCCAATATCTGCTAGGGCATAACACTAATTTTGAGGTTACCTAACTGGCTTCGTATACAGCCGCTGAAAGCAATAACTTTTTATCTGAACTCTTCGGATTCCGTTACTATCGTTCCAAATTTCCAATCAGTGTTTGCTGGATCCTATTCAATTGACATAGCCTACCTCAGGTTATTACGTTGTACTGATTTTTTTGTGTCAGGGTGTTAGTTTCCTTTCTTGCAGTTATGTCGTTTTCTCAAGCTTGCGTTGATTTTTCTATTCGCTTCTTGACAAAATATTCCCACTGAAGCAAAGTTTTTGTTCTATCAGGGATGCAGGATGAATTTGTTGGAGAAATTTATGCAACAGTCTTGAATTCCATGATGTTGCACTGATCATATGCTTGAGCCCACTGATTAGAAGTGATGAAATTGTTAGAGGAAGAGATCTTTGTGAGAAGTTACATGATGTGAGCATCAAGTGTGAGACGGCAAGGGAATGTGTATCGTGTGCACTATTAAAATGTATTGGCTGCAGGCTTAGTTACAAAAATAAGAGGCAGATTTCAGAAGGGCTTTAGTATGTATATGTGCTTCAAGATTTCAGAGGTTGGTGTCAATATTCATTTTCTTTCCGTCTGTCCAAAATAAAAGGACGAGTGGCTAAAGAAGAACAATGGCTGCACACAAGGGCTAAAACTGTACGTGTTTGCAAGTGGCCAATTGGGCAACATGAGGTTTTCCTCAACGAGAGAACCAACCTGGAGTGGATCAAAGGTCTATGCCAAGTAGCACACGACATGAAGTTCGCATACAGAAATATAGGTTGTTTGATTATATTATCAAGTGAAACTTCATTATTTTACTTCCCTACAGGTTATATTTCTGTCCGTGCATTTGGTAACAGCTTTAGAATCTACAAATTAAATACGGATTTTCTTTTTGTGCCTTTAACACCTGAAAAATCGCAAACGTATTTGTCTTGATTATTGTCATATAACAGCCCATATGTTGGGTTATTTCATAATAGATTTTGCAGTGTCGTCGTGCAATCAGGTTTTGCAAGCTCTTTTGTTGGCTTACCTTTTTGATGTCAAAACAAGGAGCATCAAAGTGTAATCCATGGCCAGTTGTAATCTGCGACATCTTTTCTAAGTTAAATGGTTTGTTTGGTTGCATCTACTCTGCAGCTTATGTTTTGACTTTTTAAATACTCATTTAATTTGTGTTTAATCTCCATACTGTGTGTTATGCCCGTAGCTGGTGTTCTGCCCATTGTTTAGATCACTTTGTCATTTTTCTTTACAAATGTATCATTCTTAGCCGTTTCATCTTTAAAAAGGTTCGGCCGTCAGTTTTAATGAAATACCTTTCTCAGCGCATTGACTCCAGTTGGCAGTAGCAGTGAAAAACGCTGTAAATGTGTGTAAGGATGTAGTGCCAGAACTGGCGGGAAACGACAAGTCAACCACACATTAGGCTTAGACCACGATTATAAATAAAATAGCACCTGCATATAGTGAAACAATCCGGAATCAATTTAGTGCTTTCCCTGAAAATATAATAGCACGCAGTTGTATCAACTTTAAATTTTGTTATCTCCTCCTTGGCTTCAGTTGATATGCACGGGAGGGAAGTCTGAAGTGGATGTTGTATTAGTTCTTTGACTAATACTTAAATGCGTTTTTGAAACATTTCACATGCTATCCGATGACCTAAATACTTCATTGTTTTGTATATTCTTCTGTTTTGTAGATTAAGCAGAATTCCAACAGCATTAGTGCGTGACAATTTTCAATACATTGATTTAGGGCCATTTTAGGAACACGTGATTTTCTGCAAGAGTTGTCGGATTACAAAACAAGAGTAGACAGCTTTTCTGATTTTTCCTATTGATCGAATTAGCAACTTATTCTCATGTAAAAGCAATACTACTAACAGGAATCCACTCATTTTCTACTTGGATACAAAGTTTCCTTTATAATTCATATTCTTACAGTTATTCATACAAACAGGTGCCTTTCCATATTTTCACTCTCAGTTTTTTTTTCTGATGCTAGCCCGTGCAGCTGCACGGGTTGACGACTAGTACTAATAATTTTCAGCTTGCACTGGGACCACTTATGGTACAAATCACGTATGCCCCTTTGGCCCTTTTTGTTATCCTTACACCATAAGTGATTTATTAACCCGATAACCAAATCACGTACGTATGCCCCTTTGGCGGGGTTTAGCCGTCCCGATAGAACTGCCGCATGGTGTAGACGGTCTGCAGGACGGTCATGAGGAGGAGGAAGGCGGCGGCTAAGAGGGACATAAACGCCCACGGGCTCCCGAAGTAGGTCCTTTTGAGGTTAGTGAACCACATTTCCCACGGCAGACTGGAGTAGCCGTTGAGCTCCCGCAGCAGGGCGCTGAGCGCGCCGTCCGGATCGAGCACCACGTCCACGAAGAAGACGTAGGCCATGATGGCGCTCCCGGTGGCGGATCCGGTGCCGACGTGCAGCCGCTCGAACGCCACCATGTTGAAGAGAGTGTACTCGGTGGAGTCGTCCACTGGCAACTTGGGCATGCTGAGGACGCCGCGCCTGAAACGGATGTTATGTAGACTGCTCGAATTGCTCGTTTTGAACCGGATCCCAGCTTGGTAGAGCTCCACTGCCGACCGGATGGTGTCGTCGGAGTCGAACTCCGGCACTCTGAACCTCTGGTACTCACCGAAGAGCATGCTCCAGCGAAAGACATCGACTGGGTGGAGCCCTAGGCGACCTACAGGAGTTGGTGGCCGTGAAAATGGGGCCAAAAACCTTACCACCATTCGGTTGATAAAGTCGTCGCCCTGCTGGCCGTTGATCATGCATGTAATGTACTCCAGTAAGCATTAATTCAAATCTCCCAATAACTGAGGTAGCAGGGGCAAATTTTCAAATGAAGAAGTAAAGTGGGGCAAAAGATTCAATTTCTCAGGAGCAGGGGTTACGTACCGGAGGACTTTCCCTCTGAACCCCAATGAGCTTGTGGAGCAGGAGCAGCGGCAGCTGGTTCTAGAGCATCAGCATGTCTCGCCTGATAGAGGGGATGTGGTACAGTATCCCGTGGCTGCAGAAGATTGGGTCGTCGCTGCTGAAGATTGGGTCGTTGGGTGCGTAGCCGTTGTGGTGGTCGAAGCCGGCGGCCGCACGCCTCATCACCTCTAGCAGGAAGCACCCGTCGAGGATCATCATCTCCAGGAACCGCTCCCTGCTGCCGGGGCCCCGACCAGCGGCCCACTCATCGCCGAGGTCCATGTAGGCGTGCTCCAGCTCTTCCGCGACGTCCTCGACGGCAGCGACGAATTCGTCAAACGACCGCCCCGAGCGCCGGAGAAGGCGCCCCAGCGCCCGGCGCTTGTGCTCCTCCATGGGCAGCAGGTGAGGTTCGCCGTGGTGGAAGGGGCCTAGCGACACCAGCTGCGGCTGGTACGCCCGGAGGTTCTTGTTCTTGATGCTCGCCGGCACGCGGTAGATGCAATGACGCTCCCACCGCCCCAGCTCCAACACCACGTCGCCTTCCCCGAGCGTCTTCTCCAGGTCTACGGCCCACTTCCTGTTGCTGCCGCCGGCCGCTGTCATTCTGACCGATCGATGTACAATATGATTGCTATAGGATCTACTAGCATGTATGTTGATCCATCGCTAGCTAGCTATATGTACCCTGCACACACCCAAAAAAAAAGCTATATGTACATAGCTTGTCCGAGGAAATGGATGGTGGAGTGCATTTATTTGAGGTTACTTGGTTATCGGAAAAAAGAATTGCGTGTAGATGTGTACAAAAAGCTGGTCATCACTCATCAGCTCACGCATGGCATATTCTTGTCTCGTTGTTTCACTCCGCACGGCACATGGTAAAACGACACCAACACAAAGGTTCCTCGCTTTCGCAACGGAGACGGCCTAAGAGCATCCTCATATCTTTTTTTTTCTTTTTTTTCTTTTTTTGAGGATTGAGCATCCTCATATCTGACCGTCGGAACATCCACCGACAGCGGCTAATTCATCTTTATCTTTATTTTTGTCTTACCTAATAATAATGGAAGAAGGCTTTCATAGTTCTTCGTAAGTCATCATTTTACCCCGTCGTCCCGAGCCCGAAACGTTTTTTTCCTCTTTTTTACAACATACCCCACGATTCGCACGGCTCCCAATCCACCCCCACTCCTCCCCTCGTTTGTCTGAAAAAAAACTTCTCCCCTCGCTCAACTATCGACCGTGACGCCATTGTTGCTCCCCACCAACGCACCGACGGGCCCCTCCTTCCTTCCTCCCGCTGCACCCAGGTTCCCCACCTCTGGCAGCCATGGCCACCACATGGTGCCACGTAGGGAACACGGCCAAATCGCTGCTTGCACGCCCCAGGCCGTCGCCCACCCCACACCCCCAGGAGGATGCCGGAGCAGGGCAGTGGCGCTGGTCCATGCGACAAGGGACCTCGATCCGCCACCCAATCAAGACTAGCCTCGACTAGATGCCATCCACGCCGCCTGGAGCACTTCTCACTAGTAGAAAACAGGGCATCAGTCCCGGTTCCAGAGGACCTTTAGTCCCGGTTCTGGAACCGGGACTAAAGGGTCGAGACTAAAGCCCAAAACCTTTAGTCCCGGTTTGCTTAAGAACCGGGACAGAGGGGGCTCCACGTGGTCGATGCGGGGCGCCCAGGCAGAAGGACCTTTAGTCCCGGTTGGTAACACCAACCGGGACCAAAAGGCAGCTGGGGTTTTTTTTATAAAGGGGGGTTTAGGAGTTTTGGAGGGTTAATTTAGGGGTTTGATCATATTGTTTTAGCTAGCTAATACAGAGAAGTGAGCTCTCTTTCTTCGTGCTTGGTCGATGTCGTGGTACTAAGTCTGACAGTAAGAATAGGGGGTACGTATGAGGAGGCGAGGCCCTAGCTACGGCGAGGTTGTACACACTAGTTTACGAGTTCGGGCCCCTCTCGGAGGAGGTAAAAGCTCTACGTCTCGGTGCCCTGAGGCGGTCGACTAGAATATAGATGTGTTATACAAGGGGTGTGGACCCTTGTCCCAGAGGAGGGGGGTGGCTTATATAGAGTGCGCCAGGACCCCAGCCCACCTCCGTTACAGGGGTTCAATGTACATAAAGATAGGGTGTTACTGATAACGCCAGCTATAAAGTGTATTTAATGATCTTTAAGACTACGGAGTGAACGCCTGACCGTTGTCATCCTGAGTGACTCTGGGTCTTCTGTACTCCGAGTGGTTTCTTGTATGGTCGAGTGGCTTCGTCTTGGTCGAGTAAAATTGGAGGGGGGGGGGTATCCGAGTGAGATGACTGGTCGAGTGGATTGCACTTGATGGCTTCAGTTGATACTCCCTGCTGTACTTTGAATGTCTTTGCTTCTAGGGCAGTGACCTTGTGTGGGGGCACATAGGTCAGGCCTATGACCCTACCCTAGGTCTATGGAATCGTCATTAGCCCCCGAATGGATTGAGGTCCGAGTGGAAAGAAGGTTGAAGTTGAACCTACCTTGATTCTTGTGCTTCACAAGTATTCATACTGGATTTGACGCCAATGCTGAAACTTCGGCTTCATTTCAGTTGCCTTGATCGATTCAGAGGTTGTCGAGTGAACTTATGCTGGCACTCGTCGAGTGTTGTTATGATGCGAAATCTTTAGCGCGATTGGTTACTGCAGATCCCGGATCTCACGGGATTCCAAAATTTGGGGTAGCGCGCGAGGCAGAGCGCGCCGTACTAAATGGGATGGATAGACAGGGGCACCTCGATTTCTGCGCCAATATTTTCGCCACGTACCCGGTGTGCTACTGTTGCGGTATTTGACAAGATTGCTCGAGCCCACGCGTCAGCCACTCGAAAGTAGGCCCTTAAAAGGCGTCGGGGCCGAGGCGTCTCCATTGTGCACTCCCATTCCCCTTCTTCCTTCTCTGCCTCTCCACCGCATCTTCCTTCGCCCTCGACGCCGCCGCTCCGCCAGTGCGTAGCCCGCCACCATGGTGAAGGATAAGACGAAGGCGCTAGAGCATGCAAAAAAGGAGACGGGGACGCCCCGGGTTGGATTCAGGGAGATTGGATCCGATCTATGCTCCGGCCAAAGGACCTGGAGGAGCTGGCTGCCACTAGTTTGATCGCCGCCGGGGCCGCGAGGTTGCCGGAGGGGGATACAGAGCCTCAACCACGGTCGGGTGAGTGTGTCCTTCTTGCTACCCATGTCGACCGTGGCTTCTCCCTTCCTCCGCATCCTTTTTCCTGGGCTTTCTGAACTTTTTCAGTGCTCAGCTTCACCACCTCTCTCCCAATACCATGATGTATCTTGCTGCGTTTGTGTCCATGTGTGAGAACTTCTTGTTGGGGAACGTTGCAGAAAACAAAAAATTTCCTACGGTTTCACCAAGATCAAACTATGAGTTCATCTAGAAACGAGAGAGAGGAGTGCATCTACATACCCTTGTAGATCGAGCGGAAGCGTTCAAGAGAACGAGGTTGAGGGAGTCGTACTCGTCATGATCCAAATCACCGGAGATCCTAGCGCTGAACGGATGGCACCTCCGCGTTCAACACACGTACGGTCAGCGTGACGTCTCCTCCTTCTTGATCCAGCAAGGGGGAAGGGGAGGTTGATGAAGATCCAGCAGCACGACAGCGTGGTGGTGGATGCAGCAGGGATCCCGGCAGGGCTTCGCCAAGCGTCTGTGGGAGGGAGAGGTGTAGCAAGGGGGAAGGGAGGCGCCAAGTGCAAGGGTGCGGCTGCCCTCCCTCCCCCCTCTTTATATAGGGCCCCTAGGGGGGCGCCGGCCCTAGGAGATGGGATCTCCTAGGGGGGGCGGCGGCCAGGGGGTGGCTTGCCCCCCAAGCCAGGTGGAGGCGCCCCCACCCCTAGGGTTTCCCAACCCTAGGCGCAGGGGGGGCCCAAGGGGGGCGCACCAGCCAACCAGGGTCTGGTTCCCCTCCCACTTCAGCCCATGGGGCCCTCCAGGATAGGTGGCCCCACCCAGTGGACCCCCGGGACCCTTCCGGTGGTCCCGGTACAATACCGGTGACCCCCGAAACTTTCCCGACGGCCGAAACCTGACTTCCTATATATAATTCTTTACCTCCGGACCATTCTGAAACTCCTAGTGACGCCCGGGATCTCATCCAGGACTCCGAACAACTTTAGTTTTACAGCATACTCATATCTCTACAACCCTAGTGTCACCGAACCTTAAGTGTGTAGACCCTATGGGTTCGGGAGACACGTAGACATAACCGAGACACCTCTTCGGTCAATAACCAACAGCGGGATCTGGATACCCATGTTGGCTCCCACATGCTCCTCGATGATCTCATCGGATGAACCACGATGTCGAGGTTTTAAGCAACCCCGTATACAATTCCCTTTGTCAATCGGTACGTTACTTGCCCGAGACTCGATCGCCGGTATCCCAATACCTCGTTTAATCTCGTTACCGGCAAGTCACTTTACTCGTACCGCAATGCATGATCCCGTGACCAGACACTTGGTCACATTGAGCTCATTATGATGATGCATTCCCGAGTGGGCCCAGAGATACCTCTCCGTCATACGGAGTGACAAATCCCAGTCTCAATTCGTGCCAACCCAACAGACACTTTCGGAGATACCTGTAGTGCACCTTTATAGTCACCCAGTTACGTTGTGACGTTTGGCACACCCAAAGCACTCCTACGGTATCCGAGAGTTGCACAATCTCATGGTCTAAGGAAATGATACTTGACATTTGGAAAAGCTCTAGCTAAACGAACTACACGATCTTTGAGCTATGCTTAGGATTGGTTCTTGTCCATCACATCATTCTCCTAATGATGTGATCCCATTATCA